TTAATTATAGTAATATAATGTACCACATGCTGATCAGAGGGATGTGGGTGGGATGTAATGTCAGAGTAAAGTAAAGCCACAACTAACACAACAGTGCTCTGATTAGGGTTGTGCGATATTGAAGTCTTGGAAAATAAAGAATCACTATAACTTCTGAAAGTGACCAGCAGTGTTTTAGCATTACATAAAAAGTAATGTCACAAATAAGAAAATGTCAGTTTAACATCAATGTGAACATACAAACAAAAAAAATAATGACACTAATTTTATATCATTGTAACGTTGCTTTCCACACACTTTAAGCACTTCTTCATATATACCACAGCAAAAACTATAGTCTGAGAAAGTTGAAACATGATTAAAGGCAAGTGAACAGTCAGTAGAAAAAAAAGAAATACACAATTTACAAGCATAGATCAAATAAACAGTAGTATTCAGGTACAGAAATTTAATAATTTGCGCGCGCGCTTCAGGTGTGAGTCAGACAGCAAGACGAGACGGCAAAGAGTTGTTTTCTGCAACTTATTGCACAACTCTTTTTAACGTAACGTGATTTTAACCTTTTGCAACGTTTTGATTTAAGTAGCCTATTATTCAAATGATAATGATATCGCGCGCAGTTGCGATATGCATATTGTGATATTTACATTTGCGATATTTCGATATATCGTGCAGCCCTAGCTCAGATCATCTTTTTTCCTGACAAAATCAATATAATGCAATATTTCTATCTGCTGAATGTAAGCTTTTCCATATTCCAAGCTTGCCTGCTGCACTGGGGACATCACATGCATGTGAGTCGTGAAAATTATGAAAATAAATCTAGGAATTATTTGATTTTGGGATTTTAAATCAGCGGGTTTGAGGCATCAAACATAACTAAGTTGTTTTATGGATGGTAACTGTAATATTATTACTGAAATCTTATTAGTAATTAGTTACACTACTAGTTACTGCAAAAAGTAATATTATTACAGTAACTAGTTACTGCCCAACACTGGTTATCACTGTACCCGCGCAGGGAGGGAGTACTACAAGACAAGGCTCATTGAGGCTAATTACCCACACAGGAGCAATAAGAATACAACAAGCCTAGAAACAAGCATGTGGCCCATAGCCAAAATTATAGCATAAAACACTCACAAACATGCCTCGGCATACATTTTTGAATTAGCTAAAATGATCTCTATATCTGTATAGTAAAATATAGCACAAACAAATAATAATTATAATTAAAATATTAATTAAAAGAATAAATTAACGATAATTCATTTGAATTTTTTTCTAGAACATTCAAGGCACTAAAATAGTATATATATATATATATATATATAGACAGTATATATTTTGAAGTATATTTTTTAATTAAGTTTGCCCCGTCGGCAAATAGTTTTTAAAGTATACACTACCATTCAAAAGTTTGAAGTAAGTTTTTTTTTTTCTCTTTTCTTTTGAAAGAGCATTTTTACTCAGCAAGGATGCAATAAACTGATCAAATGTGCACCAAAGAGTTTTACATTGATACAAAAAAATGTATGTCAGATAAATTATATTTTAACTTTCTATTCATCAAAGAATCCTAAAAAAACTTGTTAAGAAATGCTTCTTAAGCACAAAAATCTGAATACATTTAAAAATATAATAGAAATTACTTTGTTTGATAAAATATAGTCTTGAAGAGTACAAGACTTCATTCAAAACATTAAAAATATCTTGTTCTTAAAAAACATACATGTAATAAATATAGCTCTTTTCTTTTGAAAGAGCATTTTTACTCAGCAAGGATGCAATAAACTGATCAAATGTGCACCAAAGAGTTTTACATTGATACAAAAAAATGTATGTCAGATAAATTATATTTTAACTTTCTATTCATCAAAGAATCCTAAAAAAACTTGTTAAGAAATGCTTCTTAAGCACAAAAATCTGAATACATTTAAAAATATAATAGAAATTACTTTGTTTGATAAAATATAGTCTTGAAGAGTACAAGACTTCATTCAAAACATTAAAAATATCTTGTTCTTAAAAAACATACATGTATAGCAGGCTTTAAGCTTAAAACAAAAAATATTGTAATAAAAATCAACTTAATTCCATATATTCAACTTAAAGTCAATACACAAGAAAAAATACAGATTATGCAGTGTGACTACAAACTGTTCTGCAGATATAAAACTAGATACTCAGGTGTTTGGATTCACATTTTGTTGTGTAAGTTACAGTCATTTGAGATATAACACACTGTCAAAACACTATACATGACCTGGAAATGTAACACAGGCTATAATTAACCCACCAAGATCATCTCTATCTCTGCTCTTTATATTACCCCAACTCTGTCAAAACTACATTCAAAGCAATTATGCTTCTATAACATGTACTATACTTTGCAAGCAGTTTCCTCAAAAGGAAAATGGGGCTCACATCTCAGTCAAGGCAGTCAGAATGGAAGAAACCAATTATCATTTTAAAGCAACTGCGATATCGAATCCAGAAACAATGTATAAACATCTCTCCGCAAAATAAATTACATCCTGACCAACGTAACTGCCTATGTTAGTAGCTTATTCAATAGCAAGACAAACAACGTCTGTCAACATCTGCAAAAAAAAGTGCTAAATTATGAATGCATTTTTTTTTTTAAATGCAGGTTACCATACAAAATCAGTTACACCTGTAGCAGTGTACAGACAATACGTTTAAACTTATATCAACACATCAATGCATTCTAGAAATTCTAGGTTTTGAGAGAAAAACAGATAAGTTTGCAAAGTTATCAAATGTATTATCAATCAATTTTCCTGAGTGCATAATAAAATACACATTTTTAGAAGCTGCACAATGTAAAACTATTCAATGAAATTCAAGGTTTGTGTCACAGATTTTATTAAACTATGACAGTATGCGTGTGTGCAGCAAGTGCATTGAAAAACCATCAACAGTGAGAGCAATGAAATCCTGACCTGTTCTGTGTGGGTGCAGATCTGATGACTACATACATGAAACTCAGCTGAGAGAGGAGGAGAAGGAGGGACGTAAAGAGAGCTAGAGAGAAAGAGAGAGAGAAAAAAAGAAGGGTGGAGAAAACTGGGACTGGGGCTCATGAAATCAAGTTGTAGATTATGTATGACAGTATGTTTGACAGCTCAATTATCAAGTAGTTGGTTCATGCAAGAGTATTTATCTGCGCATGGACAGATTTTACATTTTTCAGTGTATGTCAGTGAGAGTTTTGCAGGTCTGTGGGAAAGAAAGTCGAGTGTATGTCAGCTGATCCACGGATGTTTGTGCGTGTGTGTGTATATGGGCAAGGGTTCTATTTTGGACAAGCACCTGTTAATGACATTAAGAGCGTGAGAGTTACAGTTGCAAAGACAGAAAAGCGAGAGGACTGTTTATAATGCGAGAGAAAGCAGCTGATAGAGCAGCTTAGAAAGTTATAGATGGCATTAAATCAAAAGAGGGGTGTGTGAGAAAGAAAAAAGATAAAAAAAGAAGGTTAGAGAGCTGGGGCATTATCAGCGGGTGAAAAATAATAAAAGCCAAAAAGACGGTCACTAATTAACCAACAAAACACTTGCCTATCCATCCATCCATTAGTAGTTCATTCACAGCCGTTCCATAAATCAACAGAAAACATTTGTTGTCTTTATGATCAGAATTTCTGTCTCAAGAACTATTTCATTGAACTTTAACAAAGAAAAATATAAAAGCATTCTTCAGGATCTCATTTACTAGCTAAACGCATTAGCATCTTTCAAAGACTTGACACCATGAATGTCACATCCTACATTGCTGTGAACTGCTAATTTGTCACCATGATAATGTTATCTAGCTGGCTAACATAGATGAGGCGGTGTCAAATTGGCAAAAACAGAAAACTTCAGTATGTTTTGCACCATATGCCTTTGTTTTCCAGCAAAAGCGTATAATATTTTGGCTTACATTGTAGCCGATTCATTTCCAGGTGCAAATTTTGGAAAATAAAATAAGTTGTACAAGTTTACTTCTAGCAAATACAGTGCTAAAAATTAAAACCGATCATTCTTTTGTCGCAGGGTACACAAAAATCTGAATTACTGGTCAGACAGGACCAGAAAATTCAAAAAAATCCTTACTGTTGAGCTCCGCTTGTGAACAAATTTTTCCTGGCACCGTAAAAAGTATTAGTCAGTTTGGAATTCATTTTCAGACATTTTTTGCACAACATGCATCAGGTAGTCTGTAGTTACTTAGGACTGAGACTCAGAGACCATTTTTTCTAACCAGTAATACAATTTGTTTTCTACATAATAAAGATAATGAAATTATATCCATGTACTTTTGCCAAGCAGCTAAATGCAGTTTTATTATATTCTATTCAAATTAACCACCCGATAAACAACTCTTTTCCCAGTCTTTGCAGAGGACTTTATTCAGTTTAATCTACTGGTCTTGTGAAGCACATTAAACTCATCAATCTCGATTTCTCTGCATTTCATAATGTCCAGTCAACTTATAGAAACACTTGAATATCAGCAATCAACATATTTACGATATTTTTGTCCTGTTTCTTATTTTTATATATCAGGGGGGAAAAAAAAAAACACAAAACAAACATACACCAGCCTAGCCATCCTCTACAGAGGCTAAAAACAGACTGACTACTGACTGACCCATTGCTCATAATACTCAGATACCATATCGGAGCTACACTACTTGGAAGTGAGCAGTGCCTGTTAGCACAATCTGCTGGCAGAATACAGATACAGTGTGTAGAAAGTCAATTCAAACGCATTGAGTTTATTTCACCAGAAGTTTCTCTGGTCCTCATACATAAACGCATTGTATTAAATCAACTCAGCTTATTACAGTTTTAAAAAAACAGCAGTGGACAGTTAGATACAGAATGTATAAAAAGAAAAAAACTGAAATGAGACAAGTATCTTTTTCACTGTGTATAAATTTGGTTAGATCGGGCCAGGAAAATAGGGTTCACAAGAAACAGTATAACTATTATAAAAGGAGGGAGAGATAGCAGGAAAAAGACAGGAGGAGGGGGAAAATAGAAGACAGTGTTGATGTAATTGGTAATATTCACCCTCTACAAGATAGCGGCTTTACCTCATACATGTATGGTGTCAAAAGACGACCCGGAAACTCCTCTGGCTTTTTAAACTCTACACTTATACACAGGAAACCTCATTCACAGCCTAAATAAAAACCATATCCAAATAACAAAGACTTCTCTCCTCAAATACCCCCCTCTCACCTTCTTGTTTGAGTGTAACATTCATTTTTGTAGTTGTCATTGTTTCTCTTCCCTCACCTGCTCCTTTACATCCTCCTCTCACTCCTATCTGACCAGTCTGGCTCAAAGTGTGTGAGCTGTACAGAGCTGTAGAGCAGAAATTTAACATTGAGAAAAGGTAACATGTAAAATCACTATGGGCCAAAATTAAACTGGAAGTTTAGTGGCATGTCTAACTGAAGCCTTTTCTGTAGACAATGCCATGGTAAGGTCTATTTTCCCATCTTAAAGCTTTGCACATACTTCAATGTTGTTGCCATCAAAAAAACAAACAAAAAAAAAACCATGACAAATGATTGGTTCGCTACATTCTGACCAAACACAAGTCATGTTTTTAGTCTGCCAGATTTTAAAAAAGCTCACACCCTCTGACCTCATAAATCTACAAAATAAGGGGCTTCCGAGAGATTGAAATCACACCATCTGCATCTCTCTGTGTCTCTCTCACTCTGGATTCTGTCCCATCTCTACCAGAAGTCACGGCGGTGGTATGCATCAGGGTCGCAGTATTTAGTCACCACCACTCTGTTGGCAAATTTCCTTCCTGTTAAGCCTTGCATTGCCTTCTGGGAGTCAAACACTGACATAAACTCCACGAAGATCTAAGACAAAGAAAAAAAAAAAGACCATAAATAACTGTTTTAAAAGGTCACATTGAAATTTGACAATGTACAAGCAGTTATCAAACCTTTCCAGTGCCAGGAACTTCCACACCGTCGACAGGACGCGGGATCTCTATGCTTTTGACCTGGCCGTATTTGGAGCACTCATCCTTGACGTCTTCCACAATCTCCTCATACTCTTCATCATCCAGCAGCTCCTCTGGAGCCACCATGTTCATCAGACACAATACTTCTGTGGGAATGCCGCCCATTTGAGTCACCGAGCTGTTTACGAGACCTGGGACTTGAAGGGTAACTGGAGTTTGGTTTATACCCGTCTTGGGAGGAAAGAAAGAGGGGAAGAGGGTGAGAAACAGGAGATAAGGTCTACATGGCCTACATCCAATAAATCAATTTTCCCTCACCAGTGTGGTGTTCTTGGAGCCGACGCTTGCTCTCTGGACCAAGAGTTTCTTGTCACCCAGCTGCATCCCGTTTAGTCCAGCGATGGCCTGTGATATTAAAGTGTGCTTTGGAGAGGTTAGCATGTGTCAACCAACAGCTCTGACATTGCCTCTAGATCATGCCATGTTCTAACCCATGGATAAATCCAGGCTAAACATTTGTTCCTTACAGATCTACAGATACAGCCCATATTAAACAATATATGTAGTAAACATAAAATGATGAAGCCAACAGTGCATGCAGAGGACAAATGTGTGTTATTTGCAGAGCATTTACAAGCTGATTATATAGATGTTATGCTTTTTGTTATCATCACCTGGTCACTGATATTGACGTCAACGTATTCACAGAAGGCATAGCCCTTAGAGAGGCCTGTTGCACTGTCTTTCACCAAATTAAAGGCCTTCAGAGGGCCAAACGACGTCAGCAATTCCTTGACCTGTGGAACAGAGAAAAATCATTAACTGAAAAAATATACACAGACTATCATTCAAAAGTTCTGCATTAAACTGATCCATGTCACAGTAAAGACTAGGAAAAAAATGACACAGAACACACTGCCATTTTAACACAAACCTGGTCATCGTTGAGGTAATTTGGCAGACCGCCAATGAAGAGTTTATTGGCCGAATCAGGCACCACCGTGGAGACGACACCTACAGAGATAGAACCAGAGTGTGACCAACAATGATCCACATTAAATTAATAAATATTAAACTTTTGATTGAAAAGAGCAAAACATTGAGCGTACAAGAATTGGGGGAGCAAAAGAGAGACGTGCCTGGGACATAGACACTGGGATTCTCACTCATGCCTGGCAGAGGCTGGTAATCGTGTGGTCGGCGAATCTTTAAACTCTGTCCCTGGAAAATGATGCCATCAAATGCCATGGCCTGTGTTGTCTCATCAACCGAACGGAACTATATTACCAAACATAAAAATAACATTCATATTACGCTCCCAATACCTCCTGAAGCATTTATGTGAGGATCTACAAAATTAGCTCTACCACTCTGAATGAAGACTGACCTCCAAAAAGGCAAAGTTCTTGTCCTGGTTGATCTGAACAGCAAGGACTGGGTTACCTGGGGCCTGAGTCAGGCCACCTAAACGCATCTGAGCATTGAAGAAGTCCATCATGGACTCCTATAAAAACAAAAAAATATCAGAAAGCAATGCTATTCATCATAATAGAGTAAGAAAAAAAATAAATAAATAATAATAATCAGTTGTACTCCGGTTTATGGATGGCAGCCAAAATAATACCGGATTAATGATAATGTTGACAGAAAGATCATCACACATTCTACTACACCAAAATATTAATGAATGTCAATGATAATAATGAACCTCACCTCTGTGATGCCAAATGGGATGTTGCCGACATAAAGCCTTCGGGCCTGTCGAGTCATCTGACTGCCCACGACAGGAACAGGTGTTGGAGTCACAGCCAGACCCTCAGGGGTCATTGTGGGCAGCAGAGCAGTGGCCGGGATCTGACCAGCAGCTGAAGTCAAAGAAAGGTTCATAAGTATGTAAGACATATGGTGGACAAATTACATTGTGATATATTGTTACAACTTTAAAATATTTAAACTTTTTATTTTTTTCGAGTGATGGCAAAGATGACTTTTCAGCAGTCATTACTCCAGTCTTCAGTGTCACATGATTCTTCAGAAATCATTCCGATATGCTTATTTGTTGCTCAAGAAACATTTCTTATTTTTAATGTAAAAAAACGGTTGTGCTGCTTAATGGTTTATAATTTTGTGGAAACTGTGAAACATTTTTTCAGGATTCTTTGACGAATAGAAAGTAAAAAAAAAAAAAGCATTTACATGAAATAAGTCATTTGTAACATTATAAATCTCTTTACTGTCAATTTTGATCAATTTAATGTATCTTTGTTGAATAAAAGAATGAAGTTTTCAACAAAAAAAAAAAAGAAAGAAAATCTTACTGATCCAAACTTCTGAAAGGTAGTGTATGTGCTTTTCCAAATTTGGTCAGACATTTATTTTTATTTTTTATTTTTTGAGGCAGCACATAACCAGAAATGTTTAAAACCCTTGTTTTAGCCCAGTGATTGGTTGACAGGAGAGAAGGTGGCCCTTCAGCAGGTGAAAGGAAACAGAGAAAGGAAGAAAGAATGAAAGAAAAACTGATTCTTACCCTGCATGGCTTTGTACTGCATGGGTGTGATGTGTTCAAATCCAGGAGGAGGAACATCCCAATATTTTTTCACTTTAATCTTTTTCTTCTCACGGTGTGGAGAGCGACTGCGCATGGACAAACACAGACCAACAATAACGTATTTGAAAATCGCTAGGCTCTTGTCAAGACTTTAGTGAATGGCACTAAGAATTTCAATTTTTACCTGCGTCTGTGTCTGTGGTCCTTGCTGTCTCCATGACGATCTCGGCTGCTGCCTCTCCTTTCTCTGTCCTGGTCCCGGCTCCTCCTTTTTCTGTCCTGGTCTCTGCTGCGACTTCTTGAGCCACTGCGCCGATGGTGCTTGTTCTCCTTGTCTCTATCTGCTGCTCAATTGAGCACACAACATGATCGAAATGAGCATGTTCTTTAATTCAACACGTTCATTCAAACTGATATCTGCTTAGAGATGCTCATCTAAGCACCAGTGTTGTCTATTGGTGGGGGAAAAGCTAATTCAATTATCAGTATTGGTCACTTCAATATCTAAATACTTAAAGGGACAGTGCAACCAAAATTTAAATCTCTTTATCATTTTCTCTCCCTCATGTAATTCCAAACATGTATGCCTTTCTTTCTTCTGTAGAACATGAACATATTTTGCTAATATCTAAAAAAAAAAAAAATCATACAATGGAACTCAGTCGGCACCAAAAACTATTTGGTTACTAACATTCTTCAAAATATGTTTGGTTTTGTTCCGCAGAAGAAAAATGTAATTTAGGTTTGGAAGTTAATGATGACAGGATTTTCATTTAGGTGAACCTGTCACTTCAAATAAATAGACCTACAACTGAATATTATGAACTTATTAAATGTTTATTTGCAGATAGAAAAAGAGGAATATTGGGCATTTTTTGCCCTGATAAACTTAACACTGATCAGCATCAGCACTACCCAGATAATATTTCTGCATGCATGCAAGCATACATTATATATTCATGATCATTAAGCTCCGAATCTTTTTTTAGAACCCCAAACCCACATCCTGTGTAAATTAGGTTTGCAATGCATGTAAGACATAACAGTACAGCATTTGTCTGGTGTTCATCTGTGCAATGTGATGCAGATTCTCCTTCAGGCTGAAGGCACGTCCAGCTTCACCAGCAGAAGAGATTTACTCACTGACCACTACCACATCAGCTCTAACACATGACCATACCCTCACTCTCATCACAATTACACCTTCATTCCTCACCTTGCTTGTTTTCGGTCAGCTGTCTCTCAAACTCGTCAAAATCTGACATTTTCCAGCAGCTCCAACACGCCGACTGAGAGTGAGGCGGGCTAGCTAGCAGCTAGCTATTCAGTGGCTGCGATTATCTCACAAACAAAAAATTAAGTTCACACCAAGCGTGAAGCAATTAAGAAACTACAGTTTTTGTAAGGGAAAAAATGCGACCCTGAGAAAGCAAAGCGCAGTTTAATGAGTCGCGCTGATGTCTTCCAGAAGCGCTCAGTGCATACAAAGACTAGCATGAGGAAAACGTGCTTTCAAAGAGAGCGAGAGTAAACACACATGCACCGGATGCTGTACTGGAATAAACGACTGCTCTGCTCTTGGAAGAGCCCGTGCATTCCCCAAAACTACCGAAATACGTTAAATACAGCCTCTATTTTCCACAAAATCTCTGTGAAATGCCAAGGCCGCGAGAGCGCGCCCACTAAGGTCAGTGGCCACTCCCTAACACTTCCGGGTCAACTTCACACTTTTAAGCCACTGAAATATATTAGCTTATAAAGGGTATATATTACAGCTGCTGATTTCAGGATTGTGTATGTGCATTTAAAACCATAACATGTAAATACACATATTCTGCACAAACAAAAACTGAATAAACTAGACTGTATTGTTTTGTATCTGACTTGCGCCACCTAATGGGTGATCTGCT